GAGTTGATTGCGTATCCCGGCAAGCAGCACCCCTTAGAGCGAGATGTGCCGTTACCCGGCATGCTCCATTTACCCCGATAGCTACGAATACGTGTATTACAGTCACTGTATCGAAATTCGCTCCTCCCTCCACACCCTAACACGCTGTCCTCCGCCACCCTTGCACTCCGGCCATTTTACCTGGAACGACAACCATCCGCGACAAAACGATCCGATTGCTCCACGAGACAATATCGCGAAAATTTCATACAACTTTTGAAAAACTGTGGACAGACAGTTCTCCTTTCTTCTATTTTAAAATTTTATTCGCGATTTTGTCGTTTGAAATTAAAGAGATAAAAATTGTGCGAACTTGAAAACCCATTATCGTCTATTTATATTCACAGTATTTCGTATAAAACTTGTTCCTTTATCATTCTTACTTAATATACTATATTAGAAAACTTATATACTATGCTAGAAGACTTTTATGATTAATTGTTCCACAATTCTATATTCTTATAGACAATAAAAAAACTTAGATTTTTGCTAGATTTCGTACTTTCGCGTGGAGAATTTTGGAAATTTTTCGTGGATCGATTATTTTTTTGTGACGTATTATGTATTTATGTATATATCGTTATATTATTCTTTTTTAATATGTATATTTATTGAATGGATACATGATTTGTTTCTTATTTTCGTTGAATCATTTTCTGTGTCTTTGCTTTCTCGTTTTATTTCATTTCTTTTTTTGCTGGTCTTTTTTTATTGAGAGAGAGAGAGAGAGAAAGAGAGATCGGTCAGGAAAAGTTTGGAGGTGTGAAATTCCGTTCACGAGCTTTTTTTCACCGTCTGCGATTACGAATGTTAGCTCCTGGCGATCCTTGCTGGAATCGTTTGTAGCCGTTTGAAAGAGTGAAATAGGGGGTAAGTTTTTTCTTTTTTTTTTTTACAAACAGTTTTGGTTATTTGCGGTTACACAGAGTGAATTCATCGTACATTCATCGAGCTCTTCAATGTTCTTGCTTAAATGTGAAAAAAAAAAAAAATAAAATAAAATAAAATTGGGCATAATTTAATCTCCGTGTTTTATTTAATTCGTGAATGTAAAAATTCGAAATTTGCAATTGTTAAAACATTTTCTGCAATTCGGTACAATGAAGAATATTTCAAAGGCACAATGGAAAAAGTAGAAAACGTTTAAATTAGTTGAAAGAAGGAAAACATATTTCAATTTTATATCGTATAGATTGCATGTACGAAATTTGCAATTGTAAAAATGTTACATTGTTAATACAATTGCTAATACTATTGAATGATAATAAGATTATAGAGATATATAAATAAAAATAAGAAACAACGAACATTTCAATTTTCATAAAAATTTAACAAAATTAGAATCACAATTATTCGTAAACGTTCTCATTATTTTTACGATTCAGATTCAAAGAAACATGTAAAAAAAGGGAAAAGCTAAGATAAAGGATAGAAAACAACTTTAATTTAAAAATTACGGAAATATTACACAAAATTTATAATTATTCACAATTCAGATTACTTCGAAGAAAGGAAAAAGTTAAGATAATAAAAGGTGGATTATGAAAAATTTTTTAATTTAAAATCATTCAGATCAGTTCACAATCCACAATATTTCAAAGAAACGTAAAAGTGGATGAAAAATGAAGTTCGCAGGTACTCAATGATAGAATCTCGTGATAGGAGCACTCGGTTATTAAATGCATCATCTTACGAAATCGAGCGGAAATAATAGGTCGCGTGCAATGTGCAGAAGTTTAAAGATAAGAATACCACGTGTGCAACCAGGATGGATCAATTAAGAGTTTCAAATTGGAATATCCCTGCTCTGTGTTTCCTTTTCCTATTTTTTTCTTTTTTTTTCCCCCCAATCACTCGTTCACTGTCCATAAACAGCTAATGGGTCGATATTGGCGGCGAAAAAGAGCGTCAGGTGTGTGGCGTAGAGATCCGAGCTGCGTCGAATTGATCGCTTAATAATGCAAATGCGATTTCAGTCTTTAATGCCGTTCGTCGCTTAATAGGATCGCATTTAAAGAATTGCGTCGAGCTTCACGAGAGGAGATATCTCTCGCGCGAAACAAATATTGACTTATTTCGTTTGGAAATTTCATTTTCTTCTTTTTTTTTCGAAAAAAATTTTATAGAAAAATTTCAAATTATTTTAAAAAAATATCGAAACGATCTTTATTGTTATTTCTTTATGAATTTAGAATGTACGGTATTTTCACTAGTGTTAGAATTATTATTGGATATTTAATTTGGATTTTTATCTTTCTACAATTACAATGTTAAAAATGCATAAGTTAGATAAAATTGTTAATAGTTTATATTGAGATAAAAGAATCCAATTATTTTCACAACAATATTTTAATTTTAATTATTTGTGTACGATTTATAGTTAGTAGTTTTAGGATATTTAGTATAAAAAGAAACGTAATTCTTGTTATTCTTGTTATGTGTTTTTAGTGATAGTCCAAATTGGATCCATGTGCACTCAATCAATAATAGATTCTCTGTCAACGCTTTTACTTACTACTACAGACTCGTGTGTCTCTGGAAAAAATATAATTAAACATGTTGCACATCTTTTTTAAGTCAACTTTTTGTATACAACTTTGAAGAACACAAAGATTATTATATAATGCTTTGCATTTGTGTGTAGAATTAATAAAATTTAATTTTTTGTAAACTATATTGTAAGGAAAGATGTTAGAAAATTTTCATTAAAATATTGGTCGATTAAAAATGCACGAGACGTGATAATAACCTCGTTAACATATTAATTTTATTTTAAAAAAAAAGAAAAATAATGTCTCTTTCCTTTTAATTTAACAAAAATTCGTTTTAATTTTCTTTAACCCAAATACACAAAACTTGTTTTATTTAACTTCACAACGCAGATATATATTTCCAACTTCAAGCAATCGAGTGATAGCTTAACGTTTGTATTTAATTCACTTAATGGAAACAGCGCGAATTAAACATCAGCAAAATTAAATTTCATTAAATTAAAAACAGAAGAGATATTTGCCACAGCGTGTAATCAAATGACAGTTTCGCGTTTCCTGTATTGACTTTGATTCGCGAAAACGAAATAAAATTGTCATGAACGATCGAGATAAAAGAAAAGAAAAGAAAAGAAAAGAAAAATAAATCGAAATCATTCATTCGATTTAGAAAGATTAGAAAAATTATTATCGCGAAAAATTTTTTCGTAGAGCCGAATTGGATGGAAATGGCAGCGTTATTCTTGCGCGATTCGCCTCTAATAAATAAATCGGCCGACAACTATGTCCGATTTCACTTCCCGCCGCGAACCACGTGAAATATGCGAACGTGGCGACAATAGATGTTCAAGATTCCAACGTCGACGTGTGCCGTTGTCGACCAATCACACAGTAACCATTGTAGTCGCTTGTTTCATATCGCGTTTCAATATCCATTGTGCATCGTGCTATTTACAACAGGGATTGTTCCAAATCAATAAACAGGTTTTTGAAGTAAATAAAGTGTTTCGCTCGTGCGATTAATATCGATTGTATTTAAAAGCGCGCAATCATTTGTATTCGCATTTTTCAATTTTTTTTTTTTTTTTAAAGAGACGTCATTTTCTACGCGGGGTATATAATAATTCACGACATTGTTTTCGATGAAAATATTTTAC